GTGCGGTCTTCCCCGGAATCGTGAAGTGGACGGGCGGGGCCTGGCGATGTGCGACACTGACTCGGGGGTTGCCAGCGTCACAAGTAGGCGTGGTAATAGGTAAGCGGGCAAGGGAGAGAAGAAGAAGAGGGAAAGAGAGACGCGCTGGACGCCAAAGTTGTGACGACAGAGCTGGTTTCCACGGATGGACAAGTCTGGGAATGCCGTGATAAGAGGATCGACTTGTGTGATTGGGGAGCTCCTTTCGTCTTTCCCCCGCGGGGGTTAGTTTGGCGGCTTTTTGGGACCGGCAGAGCAGACCCGACTACTTGCTGTACGGATAATGATATACAGCTTACAGGATTGTAGGTTACAGCAGGATCTCGATATTAAATGGGCACACCACATCCAATGATCCAATGGGGTATGTGTGTATCATTCGGGGTTCTAGACCACCATTGTCGAGGACTGCATTTTGCTGTGCCGCTTTTTTTTGTTCTTTTTGCTGACGGGGTCTAGACTTTTTCAGGGTTGGGGGTTTGTTTTTTATTACTTATTGCAAGTGAAGGATTATTGATTACCTTGGTGTTACACAGCATTGGGGGTTGCTTGGGAGGTCAGAGGGAGAGAACGAGGTAGGGAATACCTAGGCGATTACTTTGTCAGCAATGAGTCCCTGATCAAGCTCATCTGTCCGTCTTTTGATGCGGCCGTTCAAATCCAACGGCTCCCTTTTCCAAAACATCCCGATTCCCGTTCCATCATGCCCTTTCTGGTTTCCTACCATTCTCCTGGATAAGACCGTTGGGTTAGGGTCCCCCATTCCGTGTCATTTTCGCGTTCCAGGCTTTGCTTTCCCAGCGGGCGCGGGAGAATTACGGCAGTGGGCTAGCGGCAGATAGAACATACACTGAGTGGGGGGAGGGAGGGAAGGGTTTCCTGGATCTTGGATCGTGACATTCAGCCGGCGCCCCAGCATCACTCGGCTTGAATGGGACCGAGGCTAGTGATGATGATGATGCTCGATTGAGTCGAGGCGTTTGATGACGTTGGTGCGGATTGTGTCAGTAGGGAAATAGAACTCTCGGCAATGGGAACTCTTAGGGTTCTAGGGGATTCCATCAGAGATATCACAGATTTGACATGGTTGTTTCCGTTCACGATATTTGATTTGATGATGGTGAAAAGTGAGGCTGCTTTTTGTTTCCGAGTCATGTGCTCAGACTCGTGATGGGAATATGTCTTGTGAGATGGTGGTGATGGAAAGGTGTGAATGGTGTGAGCGATGACGGATGGTCTGGGAACGAGTCGAGGTCTCGTGATGAAGGCCGATGATGGCGGATGCTTGAACGAGGTAGGGGGGTAGGAAAGGTAAGGTAGGTTAGACCACCGTCTTTGACCCGAAAATACGTGACGACGACGACGACGGTGACGACGGTGACGAGCGAATAGGTGGGCGATGATGGTCCCAAGTGATCGGGGCGAGGGGGGCAAAGCAAGGCAAGGGCGGTGAGCTTAACGCAGGTTCCAGTGTGCAGTGAGATGTTGTGAGTGTGTGTGATGCCGGATTCCGAGACTAGTATCACGCAAGTCAGGCACGTAATGTAGGTACGGTGCGGCGGAGTGCTCCAAGGTGGGAACACTTTTTCTTTCCTATTTCGTTCTGCATCAAGGTGAGGTGAGGGAAGGTGTGTGTAGGTGTGAGTGGCCTGGGTTTAAGGGGGGCTGGGGCTGGGCAGAGGTGAGCATGATCGGGTTAGGATACGGGTGTTCGAGGTGAACCTGACCGGTTGAGAGTCAGTGGTGGTGGTGGTGATGGTGAGGATGCGGCGGCTGAAGCGCACTTGACGCCGCGACCGCGTGAGCGATGATGGGAGTGTGTAGAGGGGGGGGGTCTTGTGCTAGTGTGATGAGATGGATTAGATTGTGCGTGATTGTGTGAGATGACGTGAGGCGCGGGGCATTGAGTCGTGTTTGTGAAAGGCGTTGGGTTCCTAACATAGGCACCCAATTTAGGTAAAGAAGGTACTTTTTGGAGGCTATCTTGTGTTATTCAGGGAGTTTTGCCTAGTCAGCACGATCTTCTTAGTGGATGGGCTAAGGTGAAGGTGGTGGTTTTTCCATGGTGCTGTTACTGCTGTGTAAGGTAGGTAGATAAGATTATTGCCTTGGGTTCTCTTGGTGATAGGTGGGATAGGAACGGATTGATGTGGTTGGTCCATGTCCATTGCTAGGGGCGGGATGTTATAGATGCGAGATAGGGTAGTCTCGGTTTATCGTATAGTACGAAGCATCCGTACGGAGTTGGTAGACTGCAGCGCCGTTCCTATACCTACCTATCCGTACCTAGGTAGCATCATTGGAGTGGCTGGAGAGCGGGAAAGCAGCTCGAGCAAATGGCACACTGCGATTTGAAATATGTGTCGCAAGGTGTTGCCATTCAGGAGGGGGGACAAATTGACAAGAGCAATTTAGAAGCGGTTCTCGGGGTGTGATGGGCCTGTCGAGGTATGATTGTAGAGTCTCATTTCGGGATCTGGTTCTAGACGATGCCACCACGTTTGTGACCTGCCACGCACCCGCGGCACGCTTGCCTGACTCTTTCGGCCGGCTCTGCAGGTTTGCCGTGATTGGGGAAGGTGTTTTATCCGTACCACAGTGAGGAGGGGAAGAATCGGCCGGGTGTGGAGAAGAAAAGGACGAATGTCGGCGATGCCGGTGTTGCTCGGAGTGGAGTCCGGGCCCCCGGTCTCTCACTCTGTCTCGGCGGTCCGGGGGGATGGAGGGTGGGGGTCGTTTTATTCCATTTCGCCCACGAGTCTGGGTGTGACCATCCGATGCTGGACAATGACTCTCATCCTTGCTCGAGTGCTCCTATCGCGATGAATTTTCGGAAAGGTTATATTGACCGCGGTGTTATCGTCGGTGGTTCTGTGGGATGGCGGTTTCGACTTTTTCCCATCCAGCGCTCTTTCCGTGGGGCGGTTGTGTCGTGCATGATTGAGTGCATGGTGGCTTTCTGGGTGGGCCGATGATCGCTCTGCTTGTTTCTAAATCATGTTTTTGGGGCGGAAAGAAGGGCCATTGATGGCGATCGTCGAGATTGTGGTTCTATGGGAGAGAGACTGTGAAGGTGGTAGCGGAGTAAACTCCGACTTTTCTTTTTGCCTGCCCGCTCTTTGCGAGTACCCGATGCCGTCATGAAGTTGAGTCAGAAGCCCTGAGACCTCTTCCATCATCTATGGGTCTCGAATCAGAGATGGCGTGTTGCTCTTGTATCCGGCTTTACCATGCAACACAGTCGCACAACCTTGGGTTTCTTGTCTGTTGCTGTATACCTGGAGGAGCCGAAGCAGATAGATTCTTCTCATTCGTTCAGGGTCTCAGGACCAACATGCTTTACAACTCTCTGTGCTCCATATCTAAGTGAACGATGGCTTAACAACAGGCTACTTAGATTTTACAAAGCGGGCTTTGTGACATGTTTAGGATTGGTGCCATCGATCGCACACGTACTTGAAGCTTACGTCGATGGTATTCGATGATCTGTTGCGGCAGATCCCCTTTGCTCAAAACATTCGAGAGAGGTCTGTACAGAAACCGCCGCTATGTCTAGAATCCCAACCTTCATTCCTAGCTGATTATGATGCAGTCTGGACCGTATGTAGATCAGTCACGGTGTCTCTGTAGTAGTTCTTCGCTGCTTTTACGATAGCAGTGTATTCGTGACCTATGCAGATTTTGGGGTGCCATGTGTGTGCATATATTACTGATGAAGAATGTTTTGTGGCCGAACTCAGGATACGTCCATATAGTCGTCCCCAACTGTTCCCTTTGTAGGGATCAACTTCTGAGTGATGTCACGAGTTTAGCCTGCGTGAATGATTCAGGCTGACAGCATTGTACGATCCAAGTTCTTCTCACTATCATGTCCCACTTTCATTTCTGATATTGTATTTGCAGCCTAATAACTGCTGGGTAGTGTAAGAGAACGATTCCTAAAATGAATGGGTGTGAGAGATTGGGTTTCCTCATCTAGAGACACTTATTTTGAGATATTAGCCAGAGACCACCGTTGCCCTACTAGACGTAGGCACTTGGCGCCCAGTTGCCCTCTCAGTCTAACAATCAATCAGACTCCTGATAATAATGGCATTTTTAGAGCTCAATCATCGCCTGGTTTAATTTTTGGCAGCTCAGACTGCTGGAGATTCTTGCGTAAGTAAGCTAGTATAGCTTTGGATTTTTGAAATGAGTTCCAAAACTTGTTGAGCCAGCGTGAGTTGGGCATTGTCAGCGGCAGTACTGTTTCATATGTAAATGCACCCTTTATAGCCACATGACCAAGAGGTGAACCACGCACAGTGGTTCATATATGTGGTACCAAGACAGTGTATCTATCCCCTAAATCTATCAGATTCTACCCCAGCTCGCTATTGAAGTCGCGCAGAAGGTTGCCGCAACCCAGCTTGCCTCATAGAAAGCCGACCGTCTCTTGTTTCTACGACGAGGGAAGTTTTGGGCTTTTTACACCTCTAATATACCGCACGGTAAATAACACTGACGACTAGAAATTATCGTTTAAAAGCACAATCTTAGTTCCTATATACACCGATGGCTGACAGACTAAGCAATAAATACCCTTTTCTTATAACTCGATTCAAAAGGCATCCGGAAATATGTCTCAGGGCTACCTACCGCTGTATCAGTGACGGCGATTGCATCACATGCGGAATATATATCAAGACGATTGTGTATAACCCAGCAGTAATAAATACCCCACATTTCTGGTCATTGTGTTCCTTGTTGCGAGTGACACTAGGATCATTGCAACTGATGTTGACGTGATCTATTAATTTTGTGTTGGGGAACATCTGATTATGTACAGGATGTATGAAATCATATCGTCTTGATGTTGAGCTTCCAAAAGCGGCTTCTTGTATTACACATGCCTTCGTCTCTCAGTACAACTCTCATCTCTCTAGTCCATTAACTACTGGCGTGATCACTCTTCGAGGCTGTCATCCACTGCTTGAGTCCAGAGGGCCATCGATCTTATTCACGGAGTCCGCACTGTTGGACAAGACTAGTTCCGGTCCTGATGTGGAGTCGACCATCCTGACCTTGACTTGCTGAGCATGCTTTGAAATGTCTTTCGCCCCTCTGATCTGCTCCCTAGCTTCTGCATCCAGCCCATGCGTCAGTCCCGCCAGCGAGCTGCCTTTCCAGGCTGGGAGCCGTAGCCGCCGAGTTTCAAGCATCGAGAACAAGCAAAAGAGACATCCACCGAGGAGCGCTCCGAAAGGAAGCGAGATAAATGCCCATCGAACACGTATGTGAACCACCGACTCTCTCGTCGTCCCGTGGTGAGGCTCCGTCTGGAGCGAGACATCTCGCATCCACTTGGTCATTCCGAGGGCAGCGGTCTCGAATGTGGACGACAGGCTCTGCGCTGTACCGAGAGTCGTAATTACAGAGGGCTGTTCGGGCTCAAGCAGTTCAAAGGTCGGATAGACGAGCTGCTTCAACGCCATCGAACCAGAACGCCTGGCAAACTTTTCCACAAAAGCGCTAGACAAGGTCGCCGCGGTAGCTTGGGATATGTTGAACCATAGGTCGTTGTTCTGGCCTATCAACGCGACGACTTTGTCGTCGGAAGGTAGGGTGAGCTGTAGATCTGTTCGTCGCATGTCCCCCAGCGAGTGAAAGTCGAGGGTGTAATTCGACATCTTGTTGTAGACTTTGATCTTCTCCACAGTTTGAGGTGACGAAGACAAGGCGTAGGAGAAAGAGTCGAGGTTTCGAATCGAGTATGAACCGAGGATCTCTTCTTTCAGGATGCCCTTTGTGACGGTCGAGCGGTAGATATTTGTGCAGAACGACAAGGCGCACTCAAGAGCACTAGCGTCAGGGGCTTGTGCCTTTCCTCCTGCGGTGTCTCTCTTTGATTTCATCATGGCGAACGAGAAGATCAAAGCCTTCGTGTCCTGAAAGGAAAGCGTGTCTCCAGGTTGCGTTGTGGTCTGAGCCGTGAGCTCGACCTGCTGCCCGCTACCGTCATCAAAGTTGGATATATTCAAGTTCATCGTCGGAAGTTCAAACTTGGTGTATGCAAACTTATCACTCGCGTTCAACCTCGCATTCTGCATCGACCAAGGCACCGTGAGAGCCTTGTCCGAAGCGGCAGCGATGCCCGTTGATTTCACCAAGTGGCTGGAAATATCGTTGCAAGCGCTGCACACCGCCAACGAGGCATACGGAGCCCAGGTGCAATTCCCCGTCGCGCAGGTGAAGGAGGGCTGCTGGCTGCTAGGAGTACTGAGATTGTTGAACCCTGTCCAAATGGCGGAGAGCGAGCCAAAGTCGTATTCGAGAAACATTGGTTCCACAGAGACGGCTGTGTATGGCTCCGGCATTTCTATGGATTGGAGAGGCGTATCGCCGCTGAATCCTGCTTTGCCGACGTCAAGTCTCTTTGTGGTGCCGATGGAGGCGATGGTGCCCACCTCTGATGAATCGACTTCCTTCTCGTAGAACTCGACGACGGCCTGGAGAAATGGTTCGAATCCGAGCAAGACGACGGTTGCCAACGCACCAAGGGACACCCAGTGCCTGGACATAACGCTTAGCCATATAATGTCGCACGTAGAGGGAATCAGCGTACCTATGTTTGGTGCGCCATAGAAGACGGGCGCTTCCCAAGGGGCCGCGTCCTGCTTCCTCAAATCGATCATAACTGATCAAGTAATCGTCCTTGCGCCTGAACAAGTTCCATTTCCCTTGACTCAAGCAGGCACCGACGGCGAATGCCAGACTGACCCTAGACACCGTACCCAAGATGGAGATGATTGTGTTAAAAGTGAAGAAGAACGACCATTTCGATAGTGGTTTTCCATCGTACGCTGATAGAAGTGCGGTGACCATGACCAGAGCTGCGATGCTGAGAACGAGGGCCCATATCTCCAGTGTCCAGCTGTACTCGCTGGTTTTAGGTTTGGAGTTCTTCGGCTTGGCTTCATTCGAGGTGAGACTCGTAGTTTCGGCTGTAGACTCGTCGATGGGTTTGGTGTTTGAGGCCGAGTATGCAGTTTGGGAATGGTATGGTGGCTCACTGTTTACATTGACTGTGTATTTCGGTGCCAGTGCAGTACTTGCGACATTCTTTAGGGGCTTTCGTGGAATGAACATGTTTTTTCCTGGATTTGCGAGTGAGGCGAAGAGTCTCAACGAAGATCAGAGAGCCGAGCCATATGCAAGTGTCGGTTCTTTGCCTGATCCCAAGCTAATATAGCCACATAGACCCTGCTCTCAAGATGAAGGAGCAAAGGTACAGTAGGAATATAAATACGTAGCGCTTCGGAGGCAGAACATCATTAGCATGGCAGTGCAATTCTGGCAACACAGCAAGCATGGCCCATCTTCCCTAACTTCGCCAGTCAATTCGCGAGTATCGAGGATGGGATTCTGAGCCGTGCTTTCATTGGCCGCCTGCTTCTTCCACCCATCTCTACTTCTGCAGGTCTAGAATCTATGATGTTGTAGGATGACCACGGCGGGCTATGATTGGGCGTTGCCTGGGAGTTGATGACTGCAGGCTGCAACAAGACGGCATGTTTGTTTGGAGTTGTCGGGTGCTTATTTTAGAATGCAGCAACTGAAGGTGTTTGATCTGGTAAGGCCATAATTATCGAAGCTCAAACAAGGTCAGGAAAGGTGCCAGAGCGTCGTTGACGCATAGTCCTGCGGCAAATCTACTCTGCATGTGCGACAAGGTGGGATGCACGCCTATTCTCTCACCAGGCTGGGATAACGGGTCATCTGCTTGCCTGGGTTAAAAATAGCATGTCGAAATGTGGAAGACATCTACAAAAATGCAAAAGATTGAATTACTGTGACCGCGGCAGGGTTCGAACCTGCGACCTCCTCGGAGTTCAAGTGTTCACATTGTGAACGAGGAATCATAACCACTAGAACACACAGCCGGATTTGATGCGAGAACAGGCAAGTTGAGAGCCCTAGTATCGTGGAGCTCCCCTCCGGAGCGAGATCCAGGCGTTTTTCGCACAGCGGGCTCCGCGTCAAATCGAAAAGATGCCGACAATTGTCGGAAATGCCAGATGCTTCTTTTCTACTCCAGAAAGAGAATGGCTTTTTTTCTTCCCAGTATTAGCTCGACGGCTTGAGTTTGGAATTGAATTTGGGTCAATGTCTACTTAGACTGCACCGAAGTACCGGCTTAACATATTCTGTAGACATTCTCGACATATTTTCCGTCGCAAATCCAGGATATGGGTCGTAGTCTATCAAATTTTCGAAATACGGTTCAAAGAACCAAGCGATTGGAATTTCCATCCTAATTGATTGAATTCGGGGCATGTGAACTAGCCTGAAACCTCATAACAAACAAACGGCGGTTAGCCTTGCACCGACATCGCAACCCCACCATCCACACAAAATTGAACAGGAGGGGTTACAAGCAGTGACGCAGCCGTGGAACTCAGGTCGATAGAACTTCTTCAACCAACAGCAAGTACACACAACCGCACATAAGAAAAAGAATGACACGGTTTCGCCCCTGTATAGACCTGCACGCCGGGCAGGTAAAGCAAATCGTCGGCGGCACCCTCGACAGCACAACAGCCGAACTCAAGACCAACTTCGTCTCGACGCACCCGCCGGCGCACTTTGCGCGGCTGTACAGGGACAATGAGCTCACGGGTGCCCATGTCATCATGCTAGGGACCGGCAACATCGAGGCCGCAAGGGAGTCGCTCAAGGCGTGGCCTGGTGGACTGCAGGTCGGGGGCGGCATCAACGACACGAACGCAAAGGAGTGGGTTGACGCCGGCGCGGAGAAGGTCATCATCACATCGTATCTCTTCCCCGAGGGACGGTTCAGCCAGGAGAGGCTGGATGCGGTGCTGCAGGCGTTGGGGGGCGATAGGGACAAGCTTGTCATTGACCTCAGCTGCCGGCGGCGCGGAGATGACAGATGGTTTGTGGCTATGAACAAGTGGCAGACGATCACGGACATGGAGGTCAATCAAGGTATGTTTCTAGCGGCACCGCTTGATGGACACGGAAGTGCGTGTGTGCCACATGGCTAGCTGACTGACTGACTGTGTGTTGCAGAGTCCATCAAGCAGCTGGAGCCCTACTGCTCAGAGTTCCTCATCCACGCGGCAGACAACGAGGGTCTGCAAAAGGGCATCGACGAGAAACTGGTGGAGAGGCTAGCCGAATGGTGCAGTCTGCCCGTGACGTACGCCGGCGGCGGCAGGAACCTGGAGGATCTGGATATGGTGAAGAAACTGAGCAAGGGCAAGGTGGACCTGACGATTGGTAGCGCGCTGGACTGTTTCGGAGGCAACGGGGTCAAGCTGGAGGAGTGCGTTGAGTGGAATAAATCTCAGCAGTAGAGGATAAATGAGAAAAGTTAGAAATCAATCAACAATCGACCCAACACTTGATCCGGGATGACAGGCGTCACATCCGACGGGCGCGGCGGCCGTGCAACTTAGTTGGAGGCGAGCCGGTGAAGTTGTTTCAGCCAGTGCGACGAAGCAACGGTGGAGAGGTGCGCTAGAAGAAGCGAGTACAAAGAAACAAAACCTGCACAATGGACTCATGGAGCTGATGTAAAACGCACGATGTCGGCGCAGACAGGCACTAGTCCCAACGTCTCCTCTTCTCTCTCTAGGTAGTTTAGTAGGTACGGACAGGTTGGTTTCTCTCGCTCTCGCGGGCCGACAGGACCCGGGGCCGCGGCGTGTTTTTGCGAGATAAACTTACGTACATATGTACGTACATTGCATCGTATCGTATCGTACATACATGAGGAAAAGATGCCCTGCGTGCCCTGCACGATGGTGTGCGTCGGATCGGAAAGTCTGTTGTTGTTTTGCCCCTCTTTCGTCTGTCGCTCCTCCTCATCGTGGCTCCTCTCTTGGGGCTGAAGAGGAGGGAGGGGCCAGGATATTGCGCAGTGTTTGGGGGCCAGCAGGTGCTCCTGGCTCTCTGGTGGACTGGATCGGAAGACGAGGAGGAAGGAGGAGAAGCCTGGAGCCTGGAGCCTGGAGGGGAGGAGACGTGGATCGGAATCGTCTGGAACCTGGGTGCCACCAGGAAGTCAATTGCGCTGCACAATGGGACGGCATTCTCGCAGAAAATGGCTTTGCGCCGGCGGGGGCGGGGACAAGACGGTGCAGCTCTTAGGAGCAAAGTCCGGGCGCGGCGGGCGATCTTTTTTCGTTTTTTTATACGCACACATGCAAAGTACTTGTAGACTCGAGTAATTGTATACGAATCGACATGGACGAATCAGCACTTGGGGGGGGGGGGAAGAGAGCATACAGAACAACAACAATAACAATGAGAAAAATCACGGAGAGTTGCATGGTCAGTTAGTGGCAGCCAAAAAGCCGAGTACAGGCCGCAAGGCTCGACAACAACAAGAGCTTCTCTTGCGTCTGTCGTGTTGGTAACCCAGAGTGACATTGGATGGAGAGAAATCATAACACAGCCCACCCCTGGCGAGCACGGGCAGAGGGGGAACGTCTAAAGCAACAACGAGCTCCATATCGATATCCAGCCGACGGGCTAAAATGCTCAGAGCCCACCAAACCCACCATCTGATGGGATTGTGCGATACGATGCGATGGAGAGAAGCACGACATGCGGGAACCAAGCGTGGGCTTTCTAGGTTCAGGTCAAGGGCAAGGTCCCGACTTCTCTGACGATTGGTACTGGGTAAGTCATCATGATGACTTGACCGTGGACTGCAACAGCTGCAAGAACCCATGTCCTCAGCTGCTGTTGGTTGGCCCGGAGAATTCTCATGGTTCAACAACAACATTGACGAGGGGGAGAAGCCGGGCAAGCAGGACATGGAGCGTAAGGAAGCCTGATGGTTTCGGGCAATAAGCAGCACACTATAGTACTGTATAGTCCTTGCCGCGCACAGAAATGGAAATCAAGTTATTGTTGATAATTATTACTCTTCCCTCTCTTTCCTGGTCCTTCCTTTTCTTGCCCGTGTCTCCCCCCCTTCGCCTCGGATGCTTGCTTTTCTGGCTTGCCTTTAGTCTCTCTCCCTGCAGCTGCTGTGAGGTAGCGACTGACGATCAGGACTGTATTCACAGTAGATAATTCTCGAGTATTTTGTTCCGCAGGTATCCGTAGTCCACAGTAACTCGTCGTCTTCGGCATCGGAGGCATAGACAATGAGCAACCATTGGCTATTACCCGCTCGTGTAAATCATGGATTGCATCGTAAACCGCTGAGCAGCGTCACAGAAAGAGTGGGCACGTGCAGCAGACACCCGCCCAAAGCCACCCCGGTCGTCGGCCGTTCCCCTCTCCCCAGTGGTCCATTTTCGCCATTGGATCTTGCCATGCTGGATGTACGGAGTATGGGTGAATGGCTGGCTGGACGCTGGTGCTTCGAAAGCCTGTTGTCGCTTGCCAACAACCCCTCGTCCCAACTCCCCTCCCGTGCAAGGTACGTACCCGGTCTCTTATCGACCCCTGTCACGCCAAAAACGACACTAAACAAAACGTCGCCAGGAGCAACGCCACAGACAAAGAGCTGCCTTCCTTGTTTGTTTACTTCTTCGCCCCCCCGCGCACCAATCATCGAGTCCCCGCCTCAACGTCAACTCATACCGCCCGCTGCCCTTAAACAACACTCGACCACATTTACGCATCACAACACACCGTCTCCTTCACCCTCTTGTTGTTTCTCTCCACGACCGCCGTCAGGAACGCCATCCCATTACCTGTTGCTGCACTTTGGCGGCATCGCCTTTTTTGATTTTTTTTTCGTGTGTGTTGCTGTTGTTTTGCGCTGTCCCCTCCCCCCCTTCAGCTTCATTACCCAGCATCCCCATACTCCGGCTCTGCCCATTCCAGTCGTCAATAACCCATACCGAAATACCCTTCGATTATGACCCGAACCGGCATCTGACAGCACGCATCCCCGAGAGGCTCCCAAGGAAGAAAAAAGTCAAACATTCATTCTAGCAGACGATCGTCTTTCTACCGCATTTTCCCCTTTGTGTATCTTTGCGCATCCGCTCCGAACCTTACGGCAATTACCCCGGAACGCACCGCAGCAGAGTCTGCTTTACATCGGATTTTCTTTCGAGCATTGATCGCCACTACCACTTACTGCGATTGTTTCTCCCCAATGCGCTTGCGCAGTCACAACAACATCACACAAAATGGCATCTTCTGAGGATCCCGTAAGTTCTCACACACACCATTGCTAACAAAGCGCGTCTTCCGCGACTGACATTCATCTTCCCAACAGGTACATCCTTTGCGCATCAGCAAAGGCAGCAGCAATCCAGGATCTCCCCCTCCTAGCAAAGCAAACACCGGCATCCCTCGCCCCCTTTCTGAGCTCTCTCCTTCAGACCTCAGACGGAACTCACCGAGCTTCAAGCAGCCCTCCAAGGTAAGCGGACCGTGTCTGAGACATGATTCCCGTCCAGAATTTCCACTAACAGCTTTCATATAGAAAATGACCCTCAACACCGACTCCTCTCCATTCCAGTCATCCCCACTAGAGACCACTACGTCTCCCAGACTGTTTTGGCAGAAGCGCAACCTGGACTCCATCAGCACGGAGAACAGCGGCCTATACGGCGGCGCACGTCACGGCTCGCCTTCGCCAACCCGACGCACATCCATCGAACGTCTCCAAAGAGCCTCGCGAGTCAAGAACAGCAACATACTCGCTCTCGAGCAGAAGCAAGAATACGACCCCACAAGAGTCCCTCAGATCGAGCGCCCTCTCGCTAAGCATTCGGGACCCTCTTATGACGGAACAACAACCATCATCAATGGCCTGCGATCTTCTGATTCTTTGAACAGAGGCATCGGCCACCAGCGCAACAATAGCAGCAGGTCGAGCATCCCCATCTTCAGCCCGACAACGAGCCCAACCAAGGGTTCCACACCAATGCAAATCAACCCGTCCAACCCGCCGCGCAGCCCGGGCAAGGATCAAGGATCCCCTATCAAGTCGTCCCTCTCGAGAAGCAACTTCAAGAGCAGCTTCGACCCCGAGACCGGCACCTGGTCGGCCGACACTTCTTTCGACGATCGCGAGCTTCCTTCCGGAAAGTCGCTTCATCGCCACGCCAAGAGCGTCACCTTCGACGCGGCTCCTCCTCAAATCAACGAATATGAGATGGCCACACCGGATATTTCTTCCATAGGATCCAACTCGCGCGAGGGCAGCTTCGAGTCCATGGATGACGAGGATGACGAGGACGGAAACTACCACTTTGGCGATCACGACATGGAGGGCGACAGCTTCGATGCGTCGCTAGAGGACACAGACAAGACTCCCGTCGTCGGCCCTGACGACTGGAGACAGTCTGCTGAGCGTATGGAGGATCCCTTTGATGGCAGCCCCATGCCAGATGCACTCCCTCCTCGTCTCGGCCGCACAGAACACACCCGATCTGACTCATCTACCTCGGACCACCGCCCTCTGCCTCCTCTTCCCGGCATGGGCTCACCCGCCCGTGGTTCACCCGCCTTCAGCGACTCACGGTCTTCTCCCGGACTGTCTGCGACCGCGGAGAGAATGGTGGGTGCCCACCGCAGCTTACCACCGCCGCCTCCGGCCGCTGCAAGCAAGAACGAGATCCAAAGCATTGGCAACGGCAAGATGACTCTCGAAGAGAGGCTGAAGCTTATGATGCTGTCAGACGACCACAAGTCTGCCAACGAGCAGCAGAGAGAGCGTCGTCTCCGCCGTGGTGCTCAGCGCGATAGAATCCAGAGCCCCGCGTCCGACACTGAGACGGCTGAGTCCAGCATGCTCTCCGCCGACGCAGACGAGGCCGACGACACTATTGGAGATATCTCTGCCCTGGAGGACTACGAGCTACCTAGTCGTATCTCCCGTGAGTCTATCATGCGTCGCGTCAATGGCGGCGTCAGCGACCAAGGAGGTGACTACTTCTCCTCGTCCGCGCCCAGCTCTAGCCCCGAGCGACCGAGCCCTGAGCGTCGTCTTCCCCTGCCTCTTGACCCAGATGTCCCAATTCCTTCAACTGAAGACTCCATTCTGGATGACATCTCTGAGCTTAGCGACGAGGGCAGTGTCATTATCCACAGAGACGAGGCCTCTGATGCCGACACCGAGTCGATCACAGACTTTTATGCGCGGTCTGACATTGACGAGAACGATGCCGATTCTGCCAGCCATTACTCTGACGGACCGGCTCGACAGCCCGAGGTCACCCAGGTCGACGAGGACATCCTCACGCCCCGCGCGGCCAGCCCCTTCCAGTCATTTGACTTGGCCACAGAGATAAGACCTCTTGAGCTCAAGTCTGACAGGGGTTTCAGCTCGCCCGAGCAGCGAGCAGTTTCCCCGGCTGACCTCCCAGTCAGGGAGCTGACACCCGAGACAAAGATTGAAGAGGTTATCGAGCCTGCAAGCGAGCCTCAGGATGAGGTTCTCGAACAGCCTCAACCTGAGCCCGAGGTTGAGAAGGAGTCATCGCCAGAGATGCAAGTTGATGCACCTATCGACACTGCCTCTGAGCGCAAGCACAGCCTCCCCGAATTCCACGACGAGGGCAGAGACAACGAGTTCTCCAAGGGCTTGCAGTCATTCATGCTTCCTCCGCCTCCGGAGCCATCTGCCCAAGAAGTTGAGGAACTTCAGCCACCGCCAAAGATGACCGACCTTCAGGCTGAAATGCAGCGACCGGTGACGCCGAAGCACCTCTCCAAGCCTGATTACGACGGCTCCGGCTGGGGTGATCCGGAGGATGAAGAGTATGAGGAAGAGCCGGGTACGCCTGAGTCTGTCATTCATAGACCCATGTCCGATTCTGAATCAGAAATCTTCGACGAGCCTCCCTTGGAATCTCCTGCTATCCCCGAGAGACAGGCGACAATCAAGGCCTCGGGATCCAAGTTGAAGACCAGACCTTCAAACACGCCCTCTGACATCATTGCCATGAGGGAAGCCCGGCGCCAAGTTAGTCGCGAGGTGCCCGACATTCCAGCCATTCCTGAGCGCCACCGCAACAGGCTGTCAAGGGATCTGCAGGGAGAGCCCACTATCCACGACGACGAAGAGTTCGTCGACCGCCGCTCGAGCTTCAAGAAGCGCAGTCTCACTCTGGATCTTGACTTTGGCCTCAGCCTTGACCAGGATTTCGACCGGGTCATTGAACAACAAAAGGTTGCTTTTTCTCAACTAGTCCCCAATTCTCCTCGCATTGCAAGTGGCAGCACCAGCAGACAAGTGTCCAAGCCGACCGCGACCACGAATCAATTGCTATCAGCAGATAAGAAACAGTCACAGAATGCTAACCAGAAAAATCAGCGTGGATACCTCATGCGCCAGAACACCAAGGTTGTCACAGCGAGCGACAAGGAGTCTTCTGATATGTGGAAGACTAGATCCGCTGGCAACTCCCCCGTTAAGACAGACCGCCCTCAGTCATGGACCGTCGAGCCCTGGAACGGTAGGCCCAGACAGAAGAGCATCAGACGCCGCGCCAACACCAGTGGTCCTGTCCCGCCCATGCCTGGCCAAGAGAGCAATGCTCAGACTTTGAACCCCTTGGCGGAAGAGGACTTGAACCCGGAGCTTGCAACCGAGGAAAGCGGCGAGCGTGGCCGCCTCTTCGTCAAGGTTCTTGGAGTCAAGGATCTCGACCTGCCTATTCCGCGAAGTATGTCTCACTCTCCCATGTCTTGTCTCCAGATTACTGACAATTATTTAGCTGAGCGTACCTGGTTCAGCCTGACCCTTGACAATGGTGTCCACTGCGTGACGACCGCCTGGCTTGAGCTTGCTCGCAACGCTCCTGTCGGCCAGGAGTTTGAACTTGTGGTGCCCAACGATCTGGAGTTCCAGCTGACCCTCAACGTGAAGCTGGAGAAGCCCGCACCTGCGAAGAAGGTGATCGTGCAGTCTCCTACTAAGGCTAGCAAGCCCAAGACGTCTACCTTTAGCAGGGTGTTCGCGTCCCCGAAGAAGCGCAAGGAGATGGAGATGCGCCAGCGTGAAGAGGAGGAGCGTGTGGCCGCTGAGCAGCAAAAGGCAGCTCAGGCTAGACAGATGAAGGTTGCGCCTACCGCCTGGGACTTGCTGTCTCCGCTTGCGGCTGAGGATGGCAGCTTTGCTCGCTCGTACGTGTGCCTCAAGGAACACGAGACGCGCTGTTACGGTCGCCCCTACGTTGTCGACGTCGCTTGCTTCAACGAGTGGGCGACTGAAGAGGCCACTTTCGCCTCCAGCGTCAAGAGCAAGCGTGGAAACACTGCTGTTGTCCGTCGTGCCCCTTACAAGATTGGAAAGTTGGAGCTTCAGTTGCTCTTTGTTCCCCGCCCCAAGGGATCGACCGAGGAGGACATGCCCAAGAGCATGAACTCCTGCATCCGAGAGCTGAAGGCTGCCGAGGAGCGCCTGGCTAAGAACTGGGAAGGTCACCTCAGCCAGCAGGGTGGCGACTGCCCGGTAAGTCCCTCATCATACCATTCCATGTTGACTGCGTGTTAATCTCTATCACAGTACTGGCGTCGACGATACTTTAAGCTTGTTGGCCAGAAACTCACGGCCTACCACGAGGCTACCCGACAGCCTCGAGCTACTATCAACCTGGCTAATGCCAAGAGGCTGATCGACGACCGACGTGCCCTGACGGAGCGGGAGACGACCGGCAAGGGCGGCAGGCGTCGACGATCAGCATTCGCCGAGGAAGAAGAAGGCTATATGTTCGTTGAGGAGGGCTTCCGCATTCGCTTCAACAACGGCGAGACCATTGACTTCTACGCCGACACTGCCGAGGACAAGCAAGGTTGGCTATTGGCTCTGACCGACCTCATCGGCACTGGTCGTGGCGACAGCGAGGACGATGTTGGTGGATCTCGCAAGCAGGGCAAGTGGTGCGAGCTCATCCTCAAGAGAGAGGAGGCGCTGCGACGCCGGCAAGAGGGCCGACGAGTGCACTCGCGGACGAAGAGCACATTCAACTAATACCCCTTCTTTTCTTGATGATTTGGCATGAACGGCACGAGTAGGGGACACGAAGTAATGGGGGACACGGCATGATCTATGATTCTCTTGGACCTGGAGTTCGTGATCGGATAATCATGTGTCTTTGGTCCGCTGTTGCGATGGATTGTGTCTTGTGGAGTGCGTCGTTGCCTCAATATCTAATAATCTGGCAGGCAGGACGGCGTTTGGGCATGGTTTGGATGGCGATGGGGGAAATTCCGGAGATTGAGAGCTTGTTGTTTTAGATTCGCACTCGGCTTCTTTTGAGCATCGTTCTAGGAGTCGGGTAGCCCGTTTGGTTGTACGTATCATGTTGTACTAAAATGGGAGGTTTTTTTATCGTTATCTTCATTGCAGTCCTGCCATAATGATGTGACAAGGTGAATACAATTGAGTTTGCCGTAGATCTTGGTAGGAACTCACCTGGGTGAGCAGCGTATGCATCACGTGCGTCGTGATGTGATGTGCATAAAGTTGCTGGACCCTTGCTCCACTGATATTCTCGTCACTGGAGGGAAGCCACGGGGGCGCAGCTGGCCGGGGGAGTTTCACCAAGGTATCCATCTGTACCGAAGGTAATGTGCAGCGTACGGATAATGCGCAGCAGTTAGGTACGAATTGCAGGTGGGTACGTACCCATCCAGAGCATTGGATTGCTGCTCGCTACCTGAATTGCAGTGGGGAGTTGGCAGTAGCAGGCGGGCGGCAGCACCCACTTCGTCTTCCCGTTAGTTCGTTATTTTGGAAGGGCCCGCCAGCAACAGCTCCCAGCTATCTCATTACACCGAATCCTCCCCTTTTGGATCACCAAGAGATCGCAGGTTACGTCGCTTTTCCCTACACAGCATTGCATATCGTCTGCCTCTTTCTTTACCGGCCCCTTCCCTTCCTCCCTCCCGCCACCCGGGTCTTCCAAATCATACACCATCCCCAATGGCGGGCCGCTTTGTGCGAGCGTCGAAATATCGTGGGTCTTTTTTTTATTTTATTTTACTGTCGCATGCCGCCGTGTTGCGCTGGGACGAGCTGACTGCTGACGCCTGATTCTCTCTCGTATAGGACACGTCTTTGGCAAGCCGACCCGGAAGGAGTTCTGCTACGACAATCTTCACATCAGCCGAAATGCTTGGGATACCAACTTGGTGAAGGTAAGTAAGGGGTTTGCTCCTTTGCTTCTTTTGTTCTCCTGCCGAGACAATTGATGGGGGGCAGGACCGGGGTCGATAGGAGAACAAGAAGAACAAGAATGAGAGGCTGACCAGACACTCGCTACCCCTAGGCCAACCCCGACTACCTCTCCGTCAATTGGGATGCCGGCGGCGGCGGCGCTTTCGCTGTCATCCCTCTCGGCGAGAAGGGAAAGGTTCCCGACCAGATCCCGCTGTTTCGAGGCCATACCGCCACCGTCTTGGATACCGACTGGTACGCCGATCCCCGCGACGCCGCGACCCGCGCGCACCATCCACCGACGACGGCGAGCGCACGCGACAATCATACTGATGACCACGTGCTAGGAACCCCTTCAACGACCGCGTGATTGCTTCTGGATCTGAGGATGGAAAGGTCTTCCTCTGGCAGGTTCCCGAGAACTTCACCCTCTACACCGATGCCGAGGAGCCCGCCCATGTCTCTCCCGTCAGCAAGCTCGCTGGCCACTCGAGGTTCGTCACCCGCGACCTTTTAAACATTCCTCCTGCTACTGCATACACCCTCGATCAAGATGCTGATATACAGCATACAGAAAGGTCGGCCAGGTCCAATTCAACCCCGCTGCGGAAAACATTCTTGCGTCCGCATCCGGCGACTTCACGATCAAGCTATGGGACATCAACACCGGCTCCTCCACCCACACCCTGAAGCACAACGACATCGTTCAGAGTCTGTCGTGGAACGCCAGCGGCTCCATGCTGGTGACGACGTCCCGCGACAAGAAGATCCGCGTGTGGGATGTGCGCGCTGAGAAGCCGGTCCACGAGGCTCCTGGCCACCCGGGCGCCAAGAACAGCAGAGCCGTCTGGATGGGCGAGCACAACCGTTTCGCCACGGCTGGTTTTTCGCGCATGAGTGAGCGTCAGCTTGCGCTCTGGGAGCCTGGCCGCAATGAGCCCATTGGAGGTTTCAGCATGCTGGACTCCATCTCGGGTGTTATCATGCCTTTCTGGGGTCAGTTCTGGAGGTTGAAGTTGCGCGTGGGACAAATGCTAAACTACAGACAGATGACGGATCCAACTGCTTGTATCTTGCTGGCAAGGGGTAAGTAATTCGTTGGGCAGATTGTGTTAGTTGGCATACTAATGGCTCTCGCAGCGACGGCAACATCCGATACTACGAGTACGAGAACGACAAGTTCGAATATCTGAGCGAGTACAAGTCCGCCGAGCCCCAAAGAGGCATCGCTTTCGTTCCCCGTCGTGGCATCAACGTAGGTCGACTTCAGCAAGCACGTGCTGTGAAATCTAGGAGGTCATGTCTAACGCTACGTAGGTGCACGAGAACGAGGTCATGAGAGCCTACAAGACGGTCAACGACAGCTACATCGAGCCCATCTCCTTCACCGTCCCCCGTAGAGCCGAAACCTTCCAGTCCGATATCTTCCCCCCTGCTACTGGCCTCAAGCCTGCCGTCAGCGCCAAGGATTGGCTCGATGGCAAGACGGGCATCCCCTCCAAGATCGACCTGGAGAGTGTGTACGAGGGTACCGCCCCGAAGGAGGTTGCCTCTGACTACAAGCCCCCCGTGATCGCCTCAGCCCCTCCCCCGGCTGCAAAGCCTGCGCCAAAGCCTGTCCCAGCTCCGGAGCCTACTCCGGTGGCACGCTCACCCCCTCCCTCGATGAAGGACCAGCAAGCTTCCATGTCCAACATGGCTAATAGGTTCAAGGACGACGAGCCTGCCGAGCCTGAGGATGAGGACGATAACTCTAGCTTCGAGGAGGTACAAAGACCAGCCCAGCGTGTCGCAGCCCCTGCTGCAGCTCCTGCTCCTGCCCGTGCCGAGCCGGCCAAGATCCCTTCCCCAATCAAGGCCGCTTCCCCTGCCCAAGTCAAGTCGCCTCCTGCACAACAGTCCCCTATCAAGCCTGCATCTGCCAACTCACCTGCATCCTCGACGCACATTGAGTCATCTCTGGATCAGATCAGACAGATGCTCGAGCAGCAGACCAAGCTCATTGGCAAGCAGAACGACAAGATTAGCAAGCTGTCGGACGAAGTCGAGGGCCTGAAGCGCAAGGTGAACGCTGGCGGCTCTCAGGACCAGAGCGAGAGGATCAGACAATTGGAGCTGGAACTCGAGGCCGCGCGGTCTTAGGAAATCTCCTCTGATGTTTTGTGTGACCTACAGCGTGTACAGGAAAGGGGGTCTAAGGGGGTGTGTGCATCTGGAGAAGGGAGAGATGTGATGAAAACGGGGTCTTTGGGATGGATAGCAAGCAGTGATTGTCACAAGCAGAGTTAGTTTGGTGTTATAAGTACCTATTTTGTTCTCTTCCCCCTTGTCCATTGTGTGCATGGCGTGCGAGCGCATGGCTGGTGCTGGTGCGTCAACCTGCTAGGTCTGAATAAGACGGCGCACTTGTAAGTTTGATTGGCAGCTATTCAACAAGTTCTTAAAAGTGGTGAGCCATAGGGAGACTCTGATAACTGTCAGTCTGTCCGGGTGATGGTTTCATCTGGTCCATTGGATGTAAGCTATTCTTGGCACTTGGAGGGACTAGAGATAGTTCCTGTCGCAAGACGTGTCAGATCAAGGAACTTTCTTTTCTTTCCCTCCCTGATTCTTCTACCTAGACACCAGGTGCTGTGCGCATGTATCTTGGGATTCTTTCATATCATGTTATTGAACTGCGATAGGTAAATTCTCGTAAAAGCTAGGCACTCATACTACATGTTGAACTGTCTGGGTGGTTATCGCACTCAATAGGTAGTTGCGAGGAGGGGATCTAGCATCCCACCAAGGCTGACAGGAGCTTTGACAATCTTTGACCCCCATCCCTTATTGACATGGTGGAGGCTGCAGCCAATAAGAGGATGGTCTCCAGCCACAGGCCGGACGAGGCTGAGAAGAGGGACCTCTCGGACCCGCTGAAATTTTCAAGATTGTCCGCGATAAGGTTGTCTGCAGGTTAGCTGGAGTAGGGTATTTTTCTTCCCCGACAGTATTGTAACAACGGCAGGACGACAACGAAGCTACGACCACCGGTTCAATCGCAATAACGGTCCTGCGAAGCCAATCTTCTGTACGCACGAACTTGTCATATTTGAGAGCTCTAGAAGTAGAAACGAGTGCTCGGGTCTCCATCTGCGACTGCGAAAGAAAAGAAAAGGCGAAAACCATGGCCTCCGTCCTCGGGAAGCGCAAAGCGCCCTCTGCGTCGACCTCCAAGACAAGCAAGCCAAATGCGACGACTGCTTCAAGCAAGAATGCTTCGCCGGCATTGAAGAAGAAGAAGAAGAAGAGCGCCGAGAGCCTCAAGAAGTCTAGCACGACGGCAGTGACGAAGAAGAAGACGACGGCTACCGCGAAGACGAAGGCGAAGAAGGTTGTTGGAAAGGAAGAAGAGGAGGAGGATACATCCATGCTGGACGCGCAAGAAATTTTCAGACGGCACTTTGAGGCTCAGTTTAAACCGATTGAGAAGGCCGTGCCGAAGAAGAGCAAGAAGAGCAAAGCCAAGGCTGCAGAGGAGAAGGAGGACGAGGAGGACAGCGCGAGCGCAAGTGATGAGGATGTGGAAGACGGCGAAGAAGACGTCTTTGAGGACGAGGGTGCCGACGGCGAGGAAGGAGAGGGGGAGGAATGGAGTGGACTCTCTGGCGACGAAGGTAAGTCGCACCGAACCGCTGGACGCAAAACTCCAAAGAGTGTCACGGGGAAGCCTATATACTAACGAGAGGGGTGTTCCAACAGAAGACGACTACGACGAGGACAGCGATATCCCCTACGACGACATTGACGAGAACCCCGTCATCGAGGTCGTAGACCACACCAAATCCAACGCCCAACCCATCGTCAGCATGAGCAAGCGCGAACTCAAGGCCTTCATGGTATGTCTCAGGCACCCCCATCCTCCCATCCTCCCATCTCGCATTTCGCTAACCCTCTTCCCAGTCCTCCAAACCACCCTCCCAAACAGACCCCTCACCAACCTCCCTAACAGCCGCCCAAACCCCCGAAGACCCCTCCGACGAAAACGACAAATCCATGCTCGCAAACGACCTCGCCCTCCAACGCCTCCTCTCCGAATCCCACCTCCTCGCCCGCCACGCCGTCACCCCCTTCACAAACTCCGCCAACTCACCCGCCTCCAAATCCTTTTCCGAGGGGAAACTCCGCCAGCGCCAGACGGATCTGCGCACGCAGTCCCTCGCCGGCGCTCAGGGCGTAGCAGGCGTCAAATCAATCTTTGTCCAAGAGAAAATGCCAATGGCGTTCCGGAAGGGAATCGTCGCGAGTACGGCTGCGCGCGAGGAGAAGCGGAGGAGGACGGCGAAGGAGAATGGCATTGTGCTGGAGAGGGAGGCGCCGAAGAAGGTGGCGAAGCAGAGCGGGGGTAGGTTTGGACAGAGGGGTCTTGATGGGCTTGATGTTGGAAGGATGAGAGGTGCCGAATTGAGGTTGAGCGAGAGGGATGTTCAGAATATTGAGGGCGGCGGTGGGGGACGCGGCGGACGTGGGGGGCGGGGCGGAAGGGGAGGAGGAAGAGGTGGTGGTGGTGGTGGTGGCAGGGGAGGCCGCGGGAGAAGGTAGACTGGAGATATACATACCATGCTGCAAATCCCCAGAGCCTTTACGTACCTCCGGTTTATAGGTGACTTATGTTGGCAGCGGCCTATAACTTTGTTCAAGGCGGTGGATCTCAAAGAGACAAAGCGTTTCGCAAAATGTCGAAGTCCGTTCATGATGCTTCACTTGCTCATACGTGATTGGGTCGCCATGTACTCACTTACTGGCATGAGCGAAGTCGTCGAGAAAACGACAAATGGATGACATCGGCACAATTAAGTGGACATCATAGGAAATATGAGATTGAAAAGTGTGATCAAGGTGAATCAACATTCGAGACTCTGCTTATTGTTTCGTGGCAAGCCCTGTCGAGCACCCAAAAAGTTACTCGGCAGTCTTCTCCCCCTGGTATCATCTGGCCTTCTGGCAAGTGTGCTATTCTCGACTATGCATCTCCAGCACAAAGGAAAAAGAAACAAACTATATATACATGTGCGAGTCGTTCCTCTTCTTCGCATTTCGACCCTAAGCTCATGCATAAAAATCTCCCTTTTCGACGGGTACCTTCATACGTCGAGATCTTCCCAGCCTCTCCGTACGTACCTCTATGTGTGCGAGTTTCCTTTTTGGTGTCTGAGACCAACGGCCAGACTCGATGCTGAACACATGAAACTGAAACTGAAATGAAAAAAAAAATCGCCCGGAGCCAAAGGAGCAATTGTCCAGTCGCTAACGCGTGCCGAAATCCATCTTCTGGATGGATGAAGAAAAAAGAAAAGTCCTGACCCATTCCGAACCTTTGTCATAGCCATGCCGCCCTCTAAGTAACACCGTGTCGAAGGAAACGTAACTCCAGTCGTAATGAGAGCCGAAACTCGTGAGGTGTCGTCTCTCACATGATGGCGCTCGCGTTCACTGCCGGTTGGCTGATTGTCATCGGCATGCTGAGCGTCTGCAAGCTGTTGAACGATTGCATGCCGTTCGACGTCGGCGGTGTCGAGCCGTTGGCAACACCGTTGAGCGAAGCGGTAACGTAGGCGTTCTCAGAGTTGGGCGATGCCTCCTCGAGGGAACCGAGCTGGTCCTCGCCAGAGTACTCTTCCTCCTCTTCGCCCGAGAAGTTGAGAGCAGCCTCGCCGTTCTCACCACGGTCATGAGTACGCTTGTGTCTGTGGAAACGTCAAAGTCAGTCCATGCTATGCGACGAGGTTGTTTCCCCCCAAGAGGTTGGTGGCTGCGTAGTGATGATGAAGTCTGTGTTGTGGCGCGGCGGTTTGGACGTTGGTTTTCATCGCTTGGGGTCTCGCTCCACATTACATCTTTCTTGACAAAGGAAACGACAAAGGAAATGAGATGAAGGAAAGTTGGGGCATACTGTGCTAGGTTGTCTGATCTGGAGAATGCCTTGCTACAATAAGGGCAGATGTAGGGTCTTTCTTGTGTATGTGTTCTCACGTGTCTGGAAGGTTTGGTCAGATTTCAGGCAGGTCGTTTTTTGGTTGATCACAAATAAAATCGAGTCTGGTTCTTACCTCTTGAGGTGCTCTAATCTCTTGAAGAGACGACCACACGTGGGAATAGGGCAGGAGTGGGACTTCTGGGGGTAGGGACCAAGTTCCATGACAGTCGCGGAGCGAGCTCTGCGAACGACGCCGTTGGGGCCTTGCATGCCAGCCCGGGGAGCACCGTTCATAGAACCATCACCGGACATGTCATCGTGTTGGAGGTGGGAGTAGTCTTGCTGCTGGAGGGACATGGGGTTGAGAGCGGGGCTGCCCTCGACAGTGGACAGCGGAGTGCCGTGCCGGGACAGGTCCAGCATCTCCTTGTGCTGCTGGCTTACCATGGACATGGCGGAGCTGCTGTAGGCAAGGCCGGGCGGGGAGTTGTCTGCAGATTCGTCGCCTTCAGCCACAGGACCGACGGATGCAGAGACCGACCGCCGGAGATCCGAGGGTCTGTGCTGCTGTTGGTGTTGTTGGTGCTGCTGTTGCTGAGCGGCAGCCTGTGCCTGCGCTTGAGCAGTGGCAGCGGCAATGGCTGACATTGACGGCGGGATGGATGAACGCCGCCTCCTCTGCTTGTAGGTCGGGGATCCTTCAATCACAGAGTAGACGTTGTTGGAGCCGTAAGCTCTCGAGAACTGAGGGCCGGCGAGGTTGGAGGGGGGAAGCTGGATCATGCCGTTGAGGCCGTTGACGTTGCCGCCCATGTGATCGGGGATGGCGGTGTACAGGCCGGTCTCCTCGTTGGCGATGTAGGCGGGCTCGGCGGCCATGCCCAAGGCCTGCTGGGGAGGGGTGATGGGCTCGAAGGAAATGCCCCGGTTGCTGTAGTCCTCGTACTGAGAAGAGACGAATGACGGGGCGGGAGAGTACTCGAGGCCGTAGGCGGGCATTGAAGCGTGTCTCTGGTGACCCTGGGTGATGGGTACACCGTTTTGGTTGTACTGGACACGAGCGAAATCGGGTTCCCTCTTGACCATCTGCTGGGGAGGCATCTGCTGGGGCATGCCCATCGCTCCATAGGGCACCATCGATTCCATACCATCCTGCATAGGAGCAACCGATTGAGGAATCATCTGCGGGGGCGGCATGTTGTCCATGGGTCTCATGATTGGCGAGGTGGACTGGGACTGAGAGAAAGTGACCTGCTGAGCGTTGAAAGATGAGGAGTTGGCCTGCTGGGCCTTGGTGAGCTGCTCGTAGAGCGACTGAGACGAGTCGTACTGGAATGACAGAGCAGGCTCGCTGACGGCAACGGTGGTGGCCTCCTGACCCATCTTCTCGCGCTTCAGGTCCCGCTCGAGGGCGTCGAGGAAGAGTCTGTCGTGGGGTACGCTGTACCAATAGAAGACCTTCTGCTTCTTTTGCGTACGAATGCAGTTGTTCTTGTAGAGGAAGTCGAGGAAGGGGCTCTTGGGCTCCTCAAGCGACGCATCGGTCCCCGACTTCAGGTTTCTCAGGTCGGAGAAGATGCCCTCCTCGAACTTCTTGGAGTTCTTCACTGGCCGGCCGAAAGCCTGGAATCTGAAGGAAAGGCATCTGACGATGTCGGTTCCGGAGATGTGGAAGAGGTTGTTCCACAGAACGCAGGAAACGTACTCGCCCGTGGGGAGAAGGAATCTGCGAATGTACTGATCGGGTTGCCAATCGACGGGAGCAGAGATGAGGAAGTATTTCACTGCGAGACGAGTCAATTGAGGGATTCCCGAAATTACCGTTTCAATTTCGACTTACGGTTATCAACCTGTTGAAGAGCGACCTGGGCGTCGTGGGGCAACGCTTGCTGGGCTTCGGTGCTCAGCATGAAGGTCTCTGGTTTTTGGGGGGCCATGCCCGCAGCGGCATGTTGTGAGTACATGCTGTCGGATTTGTTGTGATGATGGGGGTTGACGACGGATGTCGGTCGCGTCTGACCGGATCGAGAACGAAGTCGCGCGGGTTGTTCGCCTCGGCAGAATGGCGGAGGTGACGAAGAGTCAAAGAAATGGTATGTTCGTTTTGCGAGACGGAGATTCGCAAAGCTGATTGAAGGCGCTGCCCTTGTTGGATGAGCCCGGTAATGGGAGTGTTGCTAGTTTTCTTTTTGATTGATTTTGGAGACTTAAATCGAGTCCAGCCCGGGAGGAAATAACTTTTTGGTGTTGGCACAACTGTAGACCACAGGACCCAAACTCGACCTCAAGCGAATGATGGGTTATTTCGGCTACGCAGATCAAGACCGTCAAGGTGCTGATGATGATGGGTGATTTGGTGTTTATCGGCGCCTTCGGTCTCGGAGTGGAACCTTGGGGTCGAATGAATTAGGGGTCGTTGGTGGAAGACGGTGCGTCAATGGCAAAACAAGAAGGTAGAAAAAGCTCGACGAAGGGACCCTGCGCAGGAACTGGAACTGGTTGGCGACTAGACTTGCTGGCGCGATGGAGATTCGCGATGATGGACAAGTGTGCGACGGACAATGTCTGATGTGTCGATGGGCGGGCGGATGTGCCTCGGGGGTGGTCAGTCCTGATGAGATGGGAAGAGAAACGGGGGTGGGAGGTATGTGCGGCTCCGACGAGGAGAGAAGGGGAAGAAGGAGGAGGGAAGTAGAGAGAGAGAGAATGGAAAAGGGAGATGGGAAGAAAAGAAGAGTCTTGTAAAAAAGAGATATCAGAAGAGTTTAGGAATGGGAGGATGGTCTGGGGGTTTAATGATTTTGGACGGGGTGAGAAAGGGAGAAGGAAGAGAGAAGGTCAGGTCCCCAGCAGGCCAAGGTCAAGCGAAGTGTGGTTCTTTGGGTACGGAGGTATGCTGGGTGGTGGTGCGTGTGGTGGTGGTGCGTGGTGCGTGGTGCGTGGTGCGTGGTGCGCGGTACCTTGGGCTGGGGGGGAGGGCATGGGAAGGAGGAGTGAGGAGGAAGACGAGGAGGAAGTGGGTGAGGAGGTCTGGTCTGGTCTGGTCCTGCCCTGGCGCGGGATTGGACTTTGGGCCCTTGCCTTTTGGCCCTTGGGAAAGGTACTTGGGAGTGGGAGTAAAGAAGAGTAGCAGCGGCAGCGGCAGCACGAAGTACCTACACTAGGTACTAAGGTATGGTAGCAGCGCGCGTGGGCGTCGGGTAGGCGTGCGGCGGATGGGAGTGAACCAAATGGAGTGGCAGCGGATGGATTGAAGGCCAAGGGGGGGAAGGAGAAGAGACTGAGAGCACAGAAGAACCCGACTTACTTGGTACTGACTGACTGACTGACTGGTGACTGGACCGCGGCGGGTTCAGGAAGAGCAGAGCAGAGCGAAAGGCGGGCAGGCAGAGAGCAAAGACACAGGCGGGTGGACGAGGGGGGGGGGGAGGGTGTTTAAGAAAAAAAGGAAGGGGGAGGGGGGTGTGAAGTTGGTGTGGGGAGGGGGAGAAGGAGGACGAGCGAGGAAGCAGGGCTCGGTACCTTGCTGCGGTACCTGGACTGGACTGGGACTGGCGGGAAGAGAAGGAGAAGACTGAGAGTGAAAGTGAGAATGAGAGTGAGAGTGAGAGAATCCACGTCCACCCACAACCACCACGAGCCCAGCACCAGGCCCGGTTAGGCCAGACCAGGGTAGCGTGAGTGGGAAGACAAGAAGTCAAGAGCGAAAGTGGGCTAGTAGCCAGACTGAGAGGAGGAGGTGGTCGTGGTCATGGTGGTGGTGGGATGGAGACGGAGAGACCTTGGAACTGGGGACTTGAT